ATGATGAGTGTACTCTTTCAGTTCTTTTATCCCATGCACCACTGCTTCACCTTTCCAGACTATCAGTTGGTGCCTACCATGGAATAATTCTCTCAGTTGTTGGATATACCCATCCTTGAACAGTTGCCCTTCACAGGTCTGGAAGAAGTTCCTAAGCCAGAAGTCATTGCCTCAGCTTTGCATCTGAAACGGGCCGACGTGGTATCCAATTGGGAAACAAGAAGCGGAGTCAAGGGTTTTCTAGCCAAGTTCCTGATAGACAAGGCCCAGCTGTTTTGGGATGATATGGATTTTCAGGCTTTTGAGGAGGTCTTGGCTCTTCTAATTTATGGGTTAGTACTGTTCCCTAATCCAGACTCATTCATAGACGTGAATGCTATCAAGATCTTCCTCTCTCACAACCCTGTTCCTACCTTGCTCGGAGATAATTTACACACTCTCCATACTCGTACCATGAAGAGAAGAGGGGTTCTTATGTGTTGTATGCCATTGTTGTCGAGGTGGTTTATTTCTAACCTCCCTAAGTCCGTACTGAATAATGAAGAAGGTGTGGGCTGGTCACAAAGGATAATGTCACTCGCTCACATGGATATTCTCTGGTGTTCCCGAGCTATGGAAAACACTTCTATTATTGACCGCTGTGGGGAATACCCTAATGTCCTGTTACTTGGCATCAGAGGGGGTATAACCTACAATCCTTGTTTAGCTCTGCGACAATTTGGTTACGCTCGAAGAGATGGTCCCCATGAGTTACTTATCGAGGGCATTGTATTCAACTATGAGGATGATGTTCAAGAGTATCGCTGGAGGTTCATACGAGCTTGGGGCATGGTAAACAGGTATGGCGCCAAGGCTTTGGGGCCAAAGGCTTCCATTTCCATGGAACCCTATCTCCAATGGGTACGAGCTCGCTCCCAGAAACTTATAATGCCCTATATGGCCGTTCTACCAGTGATTATGGAACCCACTACTGAAGGGGGTAATCCTTACACGGTTCTCTATCATGATATGCCCACTCATCTTGGAGAATTATAGAGGTCTTGGATTCAGTTGAAGAAAGAGCGGGATACTTACAGGGATCAGTTATATGCCCAGGAGAGGAAGGTTTTAGAGCTCACAAAGCAACTTCATGAGGAAAGAGGACTCAATGTATATAATTAATTTTTTCTTCAAAAAGTAACTTAAATATTTTTCTCAATTAGATTTTTAGGTTTTATAATTATCTTCACATTTAATTCGTCGCGTGCATTTTAATTACTTTTTTATTATTTTTGTAATTGCTCCGAGTTTGTAATAGTTTTAATTAGGTTTTAATTCCGCATTTTTTCAGTAAAAAATAATTATGTATCTGCGAAAGCCATGTAATAGCTAGAACTTTAAACTTTCCGCACTTTAAATTCCTGAAAATTTTAACTGTCTAGATGCATGGCTAATAGGATTGTATGGAAAGAATACCTGAAAATTAAAACGGTAGAAAACCCTAAATGTGCAAAGATAAATTAACTGAAAAAATTCACTCGCACATGCTCACTCCTAGGGTTTACTCCACTCCGGTTGCCTTCGGTTAAACGGTCATGAAGTATAGGGTTTGTTAGTGGTTGTCCTCTAGCCCCGAAAGATCTAAAAATGACCCATTCGAATGTTGCCTCGGAAAAGATCTTTAAGGTTTTAGGATGATTACTAAAATTACCTAACATTGCTTTTGTGACCGTATCTGTCCCTTCAAACATCCCTTAAAACTCTAACGACGGTGCTACCTATTTCTCAATAATGGGATAACACTGTCTAAAGGAAAATGAACAATCTTTTTTCGAGTAGGTAGATAGTTCATAGGTACTTGCTCAAACAAACAAACTTTTTTCACACAAACACTTTTCAAACAAAGTTTTCAAAAACAACTTCGTAACACTCTTGAGGACAGAAACAAGGGTTAAAATGAAGTAAAGTAAACTTTTCAAAACAAGCACACACACACAAGCAATTTCAAAATGAGCAAGTGCCTAAGAGCCCATGGAAAACCATGGATAGAAAGGGTGCTAACACCTTCCCTTTTTATAATCTACCCCCCGTACTCAGAAATATCTCGAAAAAGGTTTTTTCTGTTCTTTTTCCTTTTCCTGATTGGATAAAATAAAAGTCGGTGGCGAATCTTGCTTACGGCGACATTTTTGTGAACAAAAAACGCAACCTAGTAAAACAGTCGGTTCTGCCACCGTATCACAAGATCTATAACATGCATAGGGGCTGGACACACATCGAAGGACTGTGGGGAACAAATCTTCAACACTCTCAAAAAACTCAAACACTTTCCAAACACAAATCCGGAATCTAAACACTTACCTTTTTCGAATCTGAAAAATCCCCACACTTTGTTTTCCTTCTAATCCAGTTGAAAGAACATCACACTTGTTCTTCTCCTACGAATTCAGCATTAGAAACGTCACCTTCGTTCCTTCCCTTCGAATCCAGAAGCATCTAGGCAGCCACTCAAGATCCAGCCCGCACATCCCAGCCTAAAGCAAGGTAAGTCACTCTTAACCTTGAACCTTTCGTTGCTAGCATAATATGTGAATAATCTTCCTTTTCGTTTCAAAACATGTACATAATATTTTTCTTCTTTTCGTTTCCATCTTTTCAGTTTATTTTCATTTGATACTCTTATGACTTATTTTCTTTGTTTATTAAAATATGCTTTAAGAACTAACCTGACCATAAGACAATGCTAGCATGGCCTCAGGCCATGTTGCTATTTAAAATCTCAAACGAAAGAAACAGGAGGAAGGAGGTATGAAACAAAGCCCTAGGCTTCTACACTGACTTCCAAGCCCCAATCGAAGGAGGAAGCAAAGGACTTAAGGTGAAGAGGGCACTCCATGCTGAACGAAAGAGACATCCAGAAGGATGGCCATGCTAATTCCAGGCCCCAGTCGAAGGAGGCAGGAAGGCAGAATCGAAGGCTACATCTCATGCCTCAGGCTAAACCCAAATCTAAAGGCATGACCTCACTGACTTCAGGGCATAATCAAAGGGTTTTTCTGCCTAGATCAAAGCATTCATTTTTCTTTCTTTTATTTTTGTTTTGTCTTTATATTTTCATGCTATTTAATATGGTTGTAATAGTGTAGGATTTATTTTCTGCATTTTTATTACTTTTGTATAAATGTTAGTAATTAGGACGTATGGCAAGATGAAAACCAACAAGTAGACAACCTAAAAATCAAAGACTAAATGCATGAAAATCAAACACACTATTCACACATGCACTCTTAGGGTAATCTCACTTGTTGCCTTAGAGAAATAAACAAAAATTGCTAAAACGTCCCATAGGTTGCCTTCTATGACTATACAAACGTCCCACGCCCATCCCTTCACATCCAATGATGGGGCTTCTTACCAAATCAATGGTAAGATAACAACATCTAAAGAAGGAGGAAAATAACATTAAGACCTTTTGAGTAGGTAGGATTCTCCTAGTTGCTCGCTTGCTCACAACAAAAACATTTTATACACCCACACTTTCATTTTGAAACATTTTCAAAAGACAATACTTTTTGTACGCGTTCTTATAGAAACGAGAACCATTACAAAGACACTTTTCAAAATCACTTTCAAAAACATATTCCACAAACACCTCTTTGAACTATTTTCAAAACTAACACTTTGTACGCGTTCTTATAGAAACGAGAACCATTACAAAAACGTTTTCAAAATACTTTCAAAACCCACACCACAAGAACATTTTCAAACAAAAGCAAGTGATCTAGCAAGCAACTAAGAGCCCGTAGATAACTACAGATGAAAAGGGTGCTATTGCCTTCCCTTTTCATAACCTACCCCCAGAACTCAAGAAATAATCTCTAAAGGTCTTTCTTATTCTTTACAATCTTTCCTTTTGGATAAAAGAAAAGTCGGTGGAGACTCTTGCTATCCGCAACAATTGCGATCAAACGCAAAACACCCAAGTCAGTTCTCCCACCGTGTTACACTCATGATATACCCAAAACTACTTGCATCATAATATCCGCTTCTTTAAATTCCATGATATGCCTTAGATCATCATACTTCATGACTTGTCCAAGGTTACCAATCCATACAAGACTGATGCTTTTGAGCTTAAGCATAAGCCATACCTGAAAGGCACAATATACATGTATTTATTTTCTACAACAGTTCAGCACAATGAAAAAAATTTCAATTAACAAATTCAGGTCAGACCTGCCAGTTCATCAAAAAATAAATTCAAGCCAAACCCCAACATCAAACTCCCAATATCACTGAACCGATCAGCCTCATGTTCAACAATTTACACCAAAACATCAATCCAATATGCATACATTAATCATGCTCCAGCCAAAGACTGTTACCTGCTTCAGGAAATCGTGCCCTGCATACAAGGGAGTTATCAGAAAAGTAAGAAAGATGAAAAGAAAATCAGAAGGAAGAGAATTAACGGGGAATCGTGCCAAACTGCTAACATAAGCTGCACATGTCCTTAATTTAAAAAAAATGAATGAATTTACAGCTCAACTTAATTAAGCCTGAATCAAAGCTCACTTAATTCATTCATCCGAACCTAACTCACCCAAAACCTAAGACTAACTGAATCTGATCCTAGTTTACACTCACTTTAACTGAAGCAACAAACTCCAAGCCTCTCTAACAACTTCCAAAGCTAACTCCTAAGCTACAACGACCCAACCCTGTTGTCTATATAAGATCCTCCTCCATTATTCAGTTACTCTCCAACCACCATTTTTTCACTCATCAATCTTCACTTTTCCCATTCATCTTGATCTCACCATTCTTCACATCAAGAAACTCACCAGAAAATTACAGTGAATCCTAATCATCACTCTTCTCTTTCGGTAAGATTCTCTGCAACTGAATCTGAAACTTCACCTCTCTCTGAAATCGGAGTGCTCTCATCATTTGTATTCTTTAACCACTTCAATCTTCTTGGTTCTCTTCAACAAACCTTCAATCTTTGAAGCACATAAACCTCATACCACTGCACCTTTAATCTGCAACAGACACCTCATTGTAATAACACACATCAGGACTGCATCGCAAGAACAACGATAGTAGTACATTTTGCTCACAATCTAAAGATCAAAGAAGGAAGAAGAGAAATTTGTCGCAGAAACGAGAAGAGTGCAACCACAATTACCTGAATAACCTTCTGGTTCTCAGTTTGAACGAATCCATGAAGAAGAGGAGGGGTGATCAGAGCTTTGAAACTGAGAAGGAGTTTGTGAATCAAACTCGCTGAAGGCTGAGAGATACGGAGCGTAAACTAAGGTTGAGAAGCGAGAGCATAGATTCTCAAAGCAATCAACGCAAAGGCAAAGTGATGAGGAACGCATGGTGCTGAAGGCCGACCAGAAGTTGCAGACGACATATTCGCTTGTTTGTTCACGATGATGAATCCCGTCGGTGAAGGAGAAGGCTATAGTCGTTCGCAGCCTCCGCACATGGACGAAGAACGTAAAATCACGTTTTGTATAGAAGGCTAACCGTCACATTCTCTTTCAACCCTATCTCAATAATACGATGATTTTTGCCATTTTCCATTTCCTTCTTTAGTTTTTTCAATAATTCTGAATAAAATAATTTGTAAATGCTGAAAGAAATTGAGAATGTTGGTAGAATATTGGGACGAAAGTCTCTAGGTCCAAATTGCTTTGGTTTTTGGCAGTCTATTGCTTGGAACAAAAAAAATCTCTTTGCTGGACTCTTCAGGTTGGGCTTTGAGCCATGGTTGCTGAATCTCACATCTTGTATCCTGTTTTAGCACCACTTATGTATAAATTTTCATGTGTTTCCCTATGTAATTTTTTTTATTTTCATTAATTTTGGTGAATTTTTTAGTGATAAAATGATACATGAAAAAATAGTAAAATATGTTTAAGATTTTAGAATTTTTCTTTTAGAATTCAATTGAGAATTTGTCTTTATTTTTATTCACATTTTATGATTAATTCTGGTTGCTACTCTTGCCTCGATTTTGTGATAGATTGTTGGTGCAACTCTTGTGCGTTTGAGCATTAATTTGGTTGATCACTGGTTAAGCTTCTGCAAGTGCTCTTGAGCGTTTGTTGCGCAACTTTGAAGAGACGGCAAACTTTCTTCGTTAAGTACCACTAGGACCTCTTTTACCTCTTTTTTATGCATCTGCATCTGAAGTCCTGGAGGTGTTTGATAGGTTTTTAAGCCATCTTTTTGTTGTTTACATTCTTGTTCTTGCCTTTGTATGCTCCCTATAGGATTTTATGGCTTTCTTTTATTTATTATCGATCGATAAGTCACTCAATTAGAATTGAGATCACGACTTCGCTCTTAGTGCATGCTCCCTATAGGATTTTATTACGTTCCTTTACTTATTATTGAATCGATGAGTCACTCAATTATAATTGAGATCACGACTTCGCTCTCATTGCATATTTCCTTAGGATTCTTATCCTTGCCCTTAGGTCTATCTTTGTATGTTAACACTAGGTAGATTTTCCCTTTGTTAATCCTAACTTTAAGACCACCCTTACATGACAACATTAGGATCTTTAGTCTCCCTTAAACTTTTTCATTCCCCTTTTGCATCCTTAAGACTAAAACTCTTTTTCTTAATCAAATGTTGAAAACACATAACAATAAAGAGGTGAATCATGTGTCATGAGCCTTAAGTATTGGGAGAAGTATGAAGCGGTACATTACTAAGTTTGTGCTTCCTTTCAATCATAGTCTTTAATGTGGTTCAAATCACCAAATTCATTCTCAAGGTAAAAAAGACTAAACAAATTAAAACCTTTTGCCTTCGGGCTTTGCCTTTAGAAAATATTTTTTGGTAAGAACATGTTAATTCCTTTTTACGACAATTGCGTGAATCTCTAAAGGTCGAGTAGAAGTAGAATGCAAACCATCATTCGTTAAAAATACAAACAAACAAAAACTTTTGAGCCGAACTACGATGTTCTGATTCCTAAAAAGGGATACATAGGCATTGGGTTGCAGAGCTTAAGCGAGCACAACTATCTAAAACCTTTGTTTTCCCTATATTTTTCTTTTACATTCATGCATTCCTTTAACTTGGAAATTTAGATCTTTTGATTAGAACAACAAGAGTGGATCCCGTAGAGTACCAAGGACGTGAGGGGTGCTAATACCCTTTCCTTGTGTAATCGACTCCTGTACTATTCTCTTAGTCGCAAGACCTTGTTTTCTCTCAGATTTACTCGATGTTTTCCTTTCCCTTCTGTGGGATAAATAAATATTCGATGGTGACTTCATTGTTTTTCCTAGTTGCCTCACTGCCTCTTAAGGGGATATTACGTATGCAGGACATCTTGGAGAAGATCCTTACCGCCTCTCAAGGTAATATTATATATGTTAGACTTCCTGGCGAAGATCTCTGCTGCCTCTTAAGGCAATATTATGTATGCTGGACTTCCTAGCGAATATCCTTGTCACCCTTGGAGGTAATCAAAACGCTGGATCCCTAAGAAATATTCTTGACGTTTTTTAAGGCAATATTTTGTAAGTTGGACTTTCACACGTGATCCTTGTTGCCCTTCGGGGCAATACAAATAAGCTATCGAAACTTCCCGACTGAGAGACTTGAAGTTTTCTCGGACAAGACTCAACATATAAATCTCGCCCAAGGGACATGACTAAAGTCTAGTCTAAGAGACTTAGTTTAAAGACTTGTCAGAGGGTTTGATAGAAGTCCCACTCAAGAGGTCCAACGCCTCTCATGAGGGACTTATATTCTCATCAGGCTCAACATAACTTCGCCTGAGGGACTAAGATTTCCTATGAAACAAACTATCTAAACTCCTCGTCTGAGAGACTTGGGGTTTCTTCGAGCGTGACCCAACATTTAAAACTCACCAAGGAGGGTTTGATAAAAGTCCCGCTCGATAGGTTTAAACGCCTCGCCTGAGAAACTTATAGTCTCATTAGTCAGACTCAACTTTAAATTTTCTCTTCTAATGACTGAAATCTTTGAATCGACTACAAGTTTCACTAATTCTATGAAAGTATCATCAAACTCAAGGAACCATTTCTTAATTCATATCATGTGATTGCTACAACTAAAATCATGGAACCAAACTTCTCCTTTGACATTGATCCTCACATTTGAGCCATGAGCAACAATTCTTCACTATCATCAAATTCAAAAAAATTAGCATTCTCTTCCTAACTAGGACACTCATTCTTATAGTGTCCCAATTTATTACACTTGAATCATTCCATAAAATTCTTTGCTTTTCTACCTCTTCCTCGTCCTATTGACCCTACACAACTTCTACAACGACCACAACCCTTGTCAAAATTGGACATAAATTGTATGTTCCTCATTTTTATCATGTACTTTCATTCTTTGTACATGAATAAGAAGAGGTCTATGCAATTCATTAATGGATTGGATGGTGACATCCTTGCATTCTTCTATAGAGCATAAAACATAGTCAAATCATGAAGTCATTGACTTTTTTAATAACTTAAAAAAAAACATTAGTTTTCCATCACATATATAATTATGATAAAAAAAACTTGATCTTAGATCTAAAATAGACTAGATCATAACAGACCTTATAGGTTTAAACTATTTCCACCACCTAGCCATAGACAGTAACCAGATTTTATTTTAGGCTGCTACACAAACACTATGATAGAATATTAACAGACTTTTTTCTAACTTTCACTGGTTATAACAGAATGGGAATATATATAATTCACTGTCTCATTGCAATTTTGTTTACAGTTGAGAAATTCACATTTTTCGTTGTTCTATATGTTGTCCAAGTTCTTTCAATGCCTGAAAAAGAAAAATGAAACTTCGATCATTTGACAATACTAAAGAAAAGATTCAACAATGCTGCTGAACTCACCATCTTAGTTTCTTGAAGTGCATCTTCCAATGTCTTGATTTTCTGTTACGAGTATTATACATCAGAAAATTACACTAAGCATATTGAATTACCTATGTTAACATGGAGAAATAAATCATTGTATAACAACTCACATTCTTGATGTCTCCGAGACTATCTTCAAGACGATCAATCTTTTGTAATGCTAACCTACATGGTAGATCTGTTCTAACATCGTCTTTGTTTTGCATGTCAACCTGCATTTGACTATGTTAAAGCAAGGATCAATGCGTGATAGGCACAAAAAATTGTGAATGTTTTGTTACCTTTTTGTGCATCAAGAATTCTGCTGAAACCGCATTGTTGTTTTCGCATGCACCGTCGGTTTCTTCTGTTAAAGAAACTGTCTGTGCAAATGATTATACATCCTTGTCAGTTATTTCTACCGGAAAATAATGTGTACATGATATTGACAAACCTGAATCATTTCTAACAATTCTTGATTTTTCCATGGACCTTGATCACTCATCAAGCAACCTCCATAATCAGAACATATGCAATTACCACCCAAAAAAGTTGGCAAGTTACTGTAAAATTAAAACAATTATAAGTAGTAACAAGTTCATCAAAAAGGTTTCAACTTCCCAAAGTTTCTACTATACAAAAATTCATGGCTTAACTATACAAAAGTTCTTTTACCTTGAATCAATAGTCTCTAACAACACACTAGGATAATCAGGACCCAAAACCTGAAACAGAAAAGTTGGAGATTCAATCAAAAAACAAGTTTGTCTACTAGAGATTGGTATAATCAAATATAGTTGTGCAATATCATTGCATCTGAGTAGGGCCGTCTTTGAGGGCGTGCAAGGAAGGCTACCACACATGACCCATAATTTTTTATGGTTAAATCGTGCTTAAATAGGATCTCATAAAATACTTTTCACGATTAAACAACAGTTAAATAGGGTTCATATTATTTTTTTCATGGTTGAACCGTAGCTAACTTACACAGGAACTCAAAAAACTTAAGATGGTCTGCATCTGAGATGAAAAAATGTGCAATATAAAAACTATACGTACTTGAATTTTCGCTACTGTCCGTTCGCTTAGGAATGCCTTCACTGCTTTCCACAATATCTTGAAGCCAGAACCAGCATTAACAATGAAGAGTTTATTTAGAGTCTGCAAGAATAGAGATGAATACTAATCAACCTCTATTATCAGATACTAATCTAGCTTGTTCATGCATCAATACAAACACATATATCCAAATCATCCTTTTATGAGCTATGATTGACAAAAAGTACCTCAGGATAGTAACTGCTATCGATCTTCTGAATTTCCATAAACAAGTACCTTGCGGGCTTTGAGAAATTAGACATTCCCTTGAAGAATAATACAACCAGATAACCGAATCAGCGCCGCTATTCCATATAGCTGATTATGAAACACTATTGAAAGAAAATGGAAAACAAGTCCTAACAAAAAACTAAACTATATGGAAAAAATTGCTTACTATTCCATTGACATCCAAGATACTTGTGGTGGATGCTATGTGTCTTTTAGCTGCTAATGAACATGCGGGGTATCGTACTCGTAGCGTTTTCTCTTGTTCTAACACATGATGCTTTATAAACCTTTCATGTGTTGTTATTTGCCACAGTTTGTTAACATCAATCATCCCAAGTCTTTCGATATACACGG